GGCAGGAAACATCAAAAGAAGAGGAAAGGAATACACAGAGTCACTGTACCAAAAAGAATTGGTTGACATTCAGCCATTTCAGGAGGTAGCATATAATCAAGAACTAATTGTACTGAGGGAAGAAGTCCAAGCTACACTGAAGGCATTAGTGAAAAACAAGGTTCCAGGAATTGACTGAATACCAATTGAGATGTTTCAACAAACAGATGCCATGCTGGAAGCGCTCACGTGTCTATGCCAAGAAATTTGGAAGACAGCTATCTGACCAACTGACTAGAAGAGATCTATATTTGTGCCCATTCCATAGAAAGGTAATCCAACAGAATGTGGAAATTATCAAACAGTATCATCAATATCACACGCAAGTAAATTTTTGCCAAAGATAATTCAAAAAACAGTTGCAGGAGTACATTAACAGGGAACTGCCAGAAATTCAAGCCAGATTCAGAAGAGGATGAGAAACGAGAGAGATCATTGCTGATGTCAGATGGATCTTGGCTGAAAGCAGAGAATACCAGAAAGATGTTTACCTGTGTTCTATTGACTAGACAAAGACATTCGACTGTGTGGATCCTAACAAATTATGGGTAACATCGCAAAGAACAGAAATTGCAGAACACTTAATTGTGCCCATGTGGAACCTGTACATAGACCAAGAGACAGTCATTCAAACAGAACAAGGGAATATTGCATGGTTTAAAATCAGGAAGGGTGTGTGTCAGGTTTCTGCCCTTTCACCATACCTATTCAGTCTGTATGCTAGCAAATAATCCGAAGCTGGGCTATATGAAGAATGGGGCATCAGGACTGGAGGAATACTCATTAACAACCTGTAACGTGCAGATGACACAACCTTGCTTGCTGAAAGCAAAGAGGACTTGAAGCACTAACTGAAGAAGATCACAGTCTTCATATGGATTACACTTCAACCTAAAAATAAAAATCCTCACATCTGTCCATCCCCAGAGATTAGCCCACATCATAGAACACAGCCGAAGTGCATGATCAAATGGCTTAGTCATACCCGGTACGGAAGAACTTGAGTGGAGCAGAAGAGTCCTGGAGTTGATATGGGGTCTGTTATGGGTGAAGACTCAAGTAGCCCTTGGGTTCCAGCCTGAGCCGAACTCAACTCCCAGTTCTGTTTCCACAGCTGACTCACCTTCCACATTTGCTTCAAACCCAGGACTAGCCTGTAACTGGACTGAACTTTTATGGTGGATGCTGAAATATGGAGACACATCTTTTTGTTCTACCTATTTGCCCTGTCATTCCAGTATTCTTCCATATGTATTTCCTGCCCTGGAAAAAAAAAGTAGTATTGTTAATTTGGGGAGTTGTATGGCCACAATAAAATTTCTAATTAAAAAAAAAAAAAATCCTCACAACTAGACCAGTAGGCAGTATCATGATAAGTGGAGAAAAGATTGAAGTTGTCAAGGATTTCATTTTACTTGGATCCACAGTCAACGCCCGTGGAAGCAGCAGTCAAGAAATCAAACGACTTATTGTATTGGGCAAATCTGCTGCAAAAGACCTCTTTAAAGTGTTAAAAAGCAAAGATGTCACTTTGGGGACTAAGATGCTCCTAACCCAAGCCATGGTGTTTTCAGTTGCCTCATATGCATGCGATAACTGGATGATGAATAAGGAAGACTGAAGAAGAATTGAGGCATTTGAATGGTGGTTGGCAAAGAATGTTGAATATACTATGGACTGCCAGAAGAATGAACAAATCTGTCTTAGAAGAAGTACAACCAGAATACTCCTTAGAAGAGAGGATGGGGAGACTTCATCTCACGTACTTTGGACATGTTTTCAGTAGGGACCAATCCCAGGAGAGGGACATCATGCTTAGTGAAGTAGAGGATCAGCAAAAAAGAAGACCCTCAATGAGATCGATTGACACAATGGCTGCAACAGTGGACTCAAACATAACAACAGTTGTGCAGATGTCACAGGACCTGGCAGTGTTTCATTTTGTTGTACATGACTCAACAGCACCTAACAACAACAACACAAAGTTTTATATACTTACTTCACTCATAACCTGAAAGAGAGGCATTGGTATCGCCATTATTCTGGTAAGGAAATGATAGAGATTTGTTTTGAACTTAGCCATATTGTCTTTTCAATTTAAGTGTCATAGTTAATACTTCTGTTGACTTCCCCAGGGCCCAGTCACAGAGTCAGTTACATAGTAATAATAACTGTTACTTATTGAGCACTTATTGTGTGTCAGGCACTGTTATAAGCACTTTACATACGTAAACACAGCCGTATGAACTAGATACTCTTTTTATCCCTGATAATTACTGTTACAAAATGGTGATTTTCTGATCTCATCATTCTTTCTACGTGTATTAGTTGTCATTCTAAAGTAAGGAGGAGCTTTCCCTTCTCCCTCATTTACTTATTATTTTCAATAGGGACTCGTGGAATCTTATTTAATGGGTTATAATCCATTAGTGTCATTATTCATTTCAGTGCTCAGATGGTCCCACTCTTTAAAGCCAGTATTCGTAACCTCTACACCATGCTACCTCTCTATTAGATACTGCTTCTCACTGCCTTCAGTCAGTGTACCTATCGTTAACAGCCTTTTTATACCCTCTTGGCTTTAATCTTCTGAGAAACAGGAAGACTAGTGCAATCTTATCCAAATTGTGTGTAAAGTAAGAGTAAAGAGTCTCCAACGTAGAACCTGAAGAATTCTACTATGAATTAAATATATGAGTTTAAACATGGATTTTAGCTGCTCGGAGACCCTTTTCCCTTTTCTTTGAGATCTTAACCCATATTCTGGATAATTTACCTGTGAAAAGTAATTTTTAAAATCCTTTTAGGTAAGGTTAAGTAGACACAGGAGACTCACCTGGCTATATTTGATCAGATGTAGAAGAACCTCAGTTACGTAGAAGATGGGTTTTGGTTCTTTGACTTAACCTATAATGAGTCTGTGTTGGTATGCATGGAAGTTATTGGAATCCAGTCATTCATTTGGCAAATGGATAGCCAGGTGCTATGTCTGTTGAAGGTAATAATAATCAAACCAGGTGGTACAAGGAAAACCATCAACACTGCTGGTTTAAAGATATTAGAAAAACTAACAAAGAAGAAAAAACTAAAAATTTACTTTGGTTTTTTAATAGTTATGATAGTAAGAGTAATTTGTTTGAAATACTTACCATTTATGCCTTCAAAAGCATGAACAGTTTTAAAGGTCAGTATGCAAAAGATTAACATACTAAGAGAAAAATGGGCAAAGGATATAAATAAGGGATTCATGAAAAAAGAAGTACAACTGACCTTTAAACATAAAAAAAAAAAAATTCAGCGTCACTAATAATCAAAGAAATTCAAGTTGAAACAGCAGTGTGATACCATTTCCTGTTTACCAGACTAACGCATTCTGAAAAAGAAAAATAACCACCCCATTTTGTTGAAGGGAAGGCATGGCAGTTACTCTTAAACTTTATACTTTGCTAGGGAAAATAAAAATTGGTATAATTTTCTGAAAGGCAATATATTAATATTTATCAAAACCTTTAAAAATGCTTATGCTTTTTGACTTTAGAACTTCATTGTCTAGAAATTTATCCAAAGAAAATAACTAGGGATATTGTGTTGTTTATAATATTGAAATATTAAAAACAATCTAATTGTTTTACAGTAGGGGACTGATTACATAAAGTGTGGAATAGTCTTATAGTGTAATACTGTGCAGCCATTAAAAACAATGGTATAGATGAATATTTAATTACTGCTTCTGGAAGGGGGTGTGCGTGTGTGTAGAGAGAGAGTGTATGTATGATCCCATTTTTATAAATAAAAATATGTATATATTCATTTGAAAAACTGGAAGGATGTTATATATACAAAAGTATTTTCTTCTCCTTGATTATCTGTATTTTGTGAATTTTGTGAACATGAGCCTTTATTTTATCAGGGCAAATAGGAAAGCATTAGCAGGAATATTGCATAAAGAAGAAAGAAGAAGGGAAGCTAACATATGGAGCACTTCCTAGGTCAAGCACTGTGCACAGTGCTTTTTAAACGTATCTGATTTAACCTTGGAACAACCTAGCGCAGGTCCCTGCCTCTGGGCCTGCTCCCTCCAGTCCATTCTCACACAGCCGCTGGAGTGACTTTTCTAATGGTAAAGGTCTGCAAGGAAATAACACCCAATTCGAAATAGTGGTTACTCTTGGAATTTAGATTAAGGAGGTGGACATAAGGGGATATTTTAATTTTTAAATTTAATATATTTCTGTATGGCTTGAATGTTTTTAAAAGCAAGTATATCTTTTGTGATTCGGAGTAGAATATCTGATCATGTCACTTCTCCTTTCAACCCTTCAGTTGCTTACCTCATCTCCCACTGTTCTTCCCCTTGACACTCTCTACTCTAACTTCTTTCTGTTCATATCTAGCGCTGTGCTCTCTTGCAACCAGGATTTGTAAATGTGTTGGCTTCTCCTGCTTTACCATACTACATCTGGCTACTCAGCCTTCAAGTCTTAAATGTCTTAAATACTACTTCCTCTGGGAGGCCTTCCCTGATCCCCTCCTTTGTTCTCCCACTGCACACAAGACTTCTCCCTTCGTAACCTTCAACACGTTTCACTGTAATTTTATGCTGAATTGTTATCCTTCCTAGCAGACTGTAAGCTCCATGCGGGCACAAATCCCAGCACCTAGAACAGTGAGTAGTACAAAATAAGCTATTTGAAAATAATTGTTGAATACATAGTTTATATTCTGTAGTTGTGGAAACTAAGCCTTGAGAGAGGTTAAGTAACTTGTCCAGAGCTCTCAGCTCGTAAGTTTCCAAGCCAGCTTTCCTACCCTGGTCTTTTACACTCCCAGAGTTCATGTTCTTTCCACTGAACCATGCACATGAGCAGAGGCAAACACAACCCGCAAAATGCTTCAGAATCTGGGTCTGCTTCCTGGGCCTTTACTGCTTCTGACACTTCTTTCTTTCTCATTTCTTCCAGTGTGGTGCAGGTCCTGCTTGCTGCTGGGGCTGACCCAAACCTTGGAGACGATTTCAGCAGTGTTTACAAGACCTCCAAGGAGCAAGGAATCCATTCTTTGGAAGGTAAGTGTGGACTGCCCTGCTGCGCTGGGAGCTCTCCTCACTGTGGCTTCCTGTAGCCCTGCTCTGTGCCAGCTCGACCAACAGCTCAGAGTGAGAGCCAGTCCCTTCTCCTCTGGGAAGTCATGTATCACCCAGAGGGCTTGGAACAGATGCTCGTCACAGGCCCTTCTGGATCTATAATTTATGTCACTTCAAAAGTCTTGGAGAATGAAGTAGAGGTCTGATTTTATGACCTATGGGGAGGGGAGAACATTGATTTCAACTAGTGTTCTCTCTAAGGCAATGGCACTGAACCTGTGGAGCCTCAGATGAGTGGGCAGTGGAGCAGATGTCAGTAAATAATTAAGGCAGCTGCATGGGAGCCCTGGTGGCACAGTGGTTAAGAGCTCAGGCTGCTAACCAAAAGTCAGCAGTTCAAGTTCACCAACCACTACTTGGAAACACTATGGAGCAGTTCTCCTCTGTCCTGTGGGGTCTCTATGAGTCAGAATCAGTGCGATGGCAACAGATTTGTTTTGTTTTGTTTTGTTTTGCATGGGATGTGGATTTGGTCCTCTTCTACTTCTGGCAGACTTACCCTGCCCTAGAACTTAAAAACAGCCTCACTGCTTCCTCATGAAGAAACCTCAGAGCCTCAGGAAATCCCTCAACACTACTCTGAATACTGCCCCCATCCCAATATGTAAAATATAATCCTTTCAATGGGACTGGCCTCTCAACTTACTGTATGATTCAGGACAAGTAGTCAGCCTTCTCTGTGCCGTGATGTCTATGCTTGAAAATGGGGTCATCATCAGTGCCTCCTCCGGGATGCTATGTGCATAGTTGTTTGGAGATCTGCAGAAGAAAGGGTGGTGTGCACCTGTACCAGAGCTCAGTCACATGTCTGCTGGAGGGCCTCTGGGCAGGTCAGTCTGGGTTGCCTGCTGTGCGTAATTCTTTGAAAGTGGGGTCAAGAAGATAGCAGGTTGTTTTGGCTACAGACAGAAGTGGAATATTTTACATTTGAGTTTTTGCTTATTCAGGCTGTCTCTACTGTCTGCCCATTATCCTGCATCACTTACTCAGATTCCCCTCAGATTTCCAACACAGGGCATCTGAGCAGTGGCTGCTTTAGGGTTGGCAGCGATGCCAGGAGGACAGACAGACTTGCTGGTTGCCTGACAGTCAGAAAATTGGCCTGGTGAAAGGTTCAGCCAAGGGGAGCAGTGCCCAGTCCTCAGAGCTGCCAGTGAGGCTGCCAGACTGATGTTGGATGTGGTAACCCCAGAGCAGAGGTGTCATTGCTACATCACGGAGAAAGCTCCTCAGATCAGCAGCATGAGGGATGGTGTCCAAGAGCATCAGAGCATTGCTGCCCTAGTGAAGTGTGAAGTTGCCTTCCCCCTGCCTTGCCACCTCTAGAAACCTAGTCCTTCTGTCAAGGCTCCGTTGCTATGACTAGATCCTCCACAAAAGCCTTCCCTGTACTTGGCAGTAATTGTAACCTGCCCTCAGCTGCTCTTTTGAATGTTCTCTAAATCTTGGCCTCTTGTACGGTTATTTGAACTCTCATCTGCCCCTGTGTCTTTCTCTCCTCCCAGCTGACAGTTCCCTGCATGTGCAGACCATAACCTATGCCTCTTTGGATTCCCCACTGAGCCTGGAAGAATTATGTTCATTTTATGTTTCAAACACAGTAGAGTCTCATGAGTACCAGACTTGTCCTGTATTGGCAGCCTGATATGTGGGGCCTTAGCTTATGGGCTGTCTTCTCCTTACTCAAGCACATCTTTGCTACCCTCGGCTCCATCTTTTGTTCAGGTGCTTTCACCAAAAATCAAGAAGGAGCATTTGTTTTGAGGGTAGGGCCACGTATGAGGGATAAGATTATTTGGGTGCCTTCTCATCTGCTCTCAAAATCCCAGAAAAGGTTTAGTAAACATTTTTGATTTCACAAAATCTCAGAGCTAGAAGGCTATGTAGTCTAACCTCTATTGTCACACCAGTCCCCACCACCCAGTGTAGGAATCTTTGCTGCAGCCTCCTGACCCTAGCTGCAGCCACCTGACCCTAGCGTCAGCCTCTGTTTGTTAAGGCAACTCATTTCATTCTTAGCTGTAATCGTGTAAAAGAACCTTGTTTTGTTCAGAAGTCTGCCTTCCTGAACTCTCTCTTACGGTCGGTTTGTACAAAAGTTGGAAACCATACAGAACATGCTACGTCTCTCTCCCCTGTGGTTCAGCTATTTTAAGTTAGTGACCATTTCCTACTCTCTTCTCTTTTACAGTTCTTTCAACTGATTTTCAAACGGTGTTATTTTCAGTCTGTCCTCATCTCGTCCTCTGGGTAGACTATACTTCCTCAAGGTCATTACTGAAATATCACTTGTCTTGAGTTGCCCTCTATACTTCTCCCAGTGCAGACCATGTCTGCATTCAAATTTTGTAGCTTTGCATTCTAATAGTTCTCTCCAGGTTGAAACTCATATTCAACATTCTAGATCAGTGGTTGGCAGACTTTCTGGAAAGAGCCAGATAGTAAATATTTTAAGCTCTTCAGGCTAGACAGTTTCTGTTGTGAAGACTCAACTTTGCCTTTCTAGTGCAAAGGCAACCTAGATGGTATATAAATGAATGACTGTGGCAATGTTCCAGTAACACTTTATTTACAAGAATACACAGTAAGCCAGATTTGGCCCATAGGCTATTGTCTGCCAATACGTGTTCTAGGTATTTTCTTTTTGGTCCACCTTCTCTGAATTCTTTTTAACTCTTATATGAGCCAACCTCATTCCAGATACATAGAAACAAAAATATTAGAAAAGCTATCATATCTCTCATGAAATAAAGATAAAAATATTAACTATCTTTCTCATTTTATATTATCTACAAATTTAATGAGTAGGCTTTCTGTGAACTCATTTGTTTATTTAATAAATATTTATCGATCATATTTCTGTGTATACCAGATACTGTTCTAGGCACTGACGAGTTAGACTGACAAGATCCCTGCCATCATGTACTTTATGTGCTAGTCTTTGATTAAAATGTTCATTAGAACTCTACTAAGTACAGAATCCCAAAGCACATGACAAAAAATTACCCTTCAGGACTATTTTGATCCATTATTTAACATTTACGATATTATTTTCGTTCAACCAGTGATAAATCTACCAAACTTGTTTCTTTTCCAGCCTCCATTTTTCCATCTTGCCCACAAAATTGTAAGAAATTTCTCAGACTTCTTGCAAAAATTAAAATGTGTCTAGCAGTTGTTTGATTTTCTCTCCCAATAACCGTTTCCAAAAAGGAAAATAGATATACTCACATGGTCATGTCTTGTTCTTAGGAAACCCATACTGGTGCCCAGTAATCTCTGAAGTGTTTTAGGAACTATTTTCAAAAATACATTCGAGAATTTTGTCAGGAATTATTGATAAATTCACTCTGCTTCAGCTTATGAACTCTACCTCTCTCTACCTTTGCCTGCCACAGTTTTCCGGCAGCTTATCTTATTCTCCCTGGTGTATCAGTTTGGATGTGCTCTGCTCTCTGACTTCATGTACCCTGCTTCTGCTTCTGACTCTGGGGCCTGAAGAATTCCATTCCTTCAGCACCATCCTAGGGCTGTCCTCTCTCCTTATCACTCAAGGCCTTTAGCTCTTTCTTAACCACTTTTTTCTTTCCTTTTTCTATTTAAGGCAATTTCATTCTTTCATCCATTCAACCAATATGTGTTGAATGCCTACTATATGCAAGGCACTGTACCTAGCTCTGAGTCATTCTCATTGATGAAGTAGAGAATCCTGTGGTTCTCCATTCTTTGAATTAGATTGACTTTTTTATGGGCAGTTATCTGAGTTATGGGGTCGGAGGGTGTGAGAAGGGTGGAGCAGAACAAGAGGTGCATGACATCCTCCCTTGCCTAGAATGTGTAGGCTCAGAAAAGTTGATAGACCTTCAATATTGGAGCACAGAGTCAATGCCAAACCATCAAGTTCATTAGATTTTTGATAGCTATTTCTGTGAGCCTCATCCTGTGCTCAGTACTCAGGGAAGGTGGTGAGTTGTAGTTTGTGACCCTGGCGAGCCCTTCCTTGAACTCCAGTAATGCATCCCTTGTCTCCCTTTTCAGCATTGTTATGAAGATCAATAGATAAAATGTGTGATTTGTGAATCGTAAAGTGTTCTATGGTTGTAATTGCTTTATTAGTTTCTTGTACTTACAACTCAACATGCATTTACTGAGTATTGGGCACTCTGCCAGGTGTTGGGAATATAAAAGTGAATATACGTGGTCTAGGCCCTCACAGTGCTGCCAGTCAAGGAAGAAGACAGAGCTATGAACAAGGAATCACAGTACAGAGTGATAAACACAAAGGTAGATGTACAAAGGATACAGGTCACTCTGAAAAGAGAGTGATGGACTCTGCCTGGGGGCAGGCTGGTGTCTGGGAAGTATCACAGGGTAGGTGACTTTGGATTGGGTTTTAAGGATGAATCAGACATTGCCAGGCAGGCTGAGAGGGATGGACTTTCCAGGCAGAAGGAATAACACATTACATTGACATGGGGGTGGGGAGGGGGGTGGCAGGTAGAATCATTTGCCAAGACTGGAGAGGCAAGCAGGGCTACGCATGGGAAGGACTTTGTAAGACAATTCTAGGGAGTGCATATTGTATCCTGAACTCCATTAAAGGATTATAAGCAGGGGACCATTCTGGAGGGGTGGAGGATGAAATTGGAGGAGAGAGATTAGCAGCGGTTCTTGACCTTTTGGGGGTGCTGGGTCCATTTGAGAAGCTATGCTTCTCTCCCCCAAAATGCATTATAATTTTCTGAGAATTTCTAAAGATGATCTTTTGGAATGGAGAAAATAGAAGTTAGAAAAATATTAGGAGGAAATTGAGTACTTAGTGGAATGTGGGACTTAATGGAAGAGGAGGCATCCATGGTGACACCTCAGTTTCTGATTTGTAGGTCTGGAGCTCAAAGGAGAAGTCTGGCAAGAGATGGAGA